TGGAGAGTAACTGCTTAATGGGTACTGAGTTTCTTTTTGGGGTGATGGAAACGTTTTGGAACTACATAGAGGTGGTGATTGTACAACATTGTTAATGCACTAAATGTTACTAAATTGTTCACTTTAAAATGGTTAATTTTATGTTATGTGAATTTCATCTCAACCACATCCAAAAATCTTATATGAGTGAGTCAGTAGGAGCAAAACAGACTGACATGCATTTAATACTCAGCTATGAAGTAGTTTTCAAAATTGAATAAATAAATACCTGGATTCTCAGCTAAACTTTCAGTATTGATATGGCAGAAGGCAGTGTTACCCAAAGTGTGGGTTGTGTTCTATTGATGGCAGGTAAGACGGACAAGGCTTTAAATAACATTGCCTTGCATAGTGAGAAATTTAATTTCTTTACTGAGATTTCAGTCACCTTTTAGTCCATGTGAATATATCAATGACAGTCTCAATTTGATGCTAGGATGTTTGCTGTTAGTACATTTAATGTCTCTAATACAAGCTAATCTCCCTTTACAACAAAGAGAGAGCAGGCTTCAGGCTCAGAGCCCTCTGGGCAATGTTATTCTGGCGGTTTTAATATCATTGTTTTCAGTGTGTTCTTTTTTACTTTTATCTTCTGTTTATGTCATGTGACATCTGTTTTCTACTTTAGTGACTTTCATTCTACTTTACATAGTGATGCAAAATTTCCTCTTTAGATTGATTTAAGTAGAAATGTGAGTCAATAATAATATAAATGGTATGAAGATTTAAGGGATAAAGTAAAACCCAGATGATTAAATAGGACACACCAGCATAAAGACACATTCTCTAGATTTCGAATTTAAGGACCTGAGTCTCTCCCTACCCAGGCAACTCCAGACACATCACTTAGCCCCTGTGCTACTGTTCCTGCCTACCTCGGAGAGATTTTATGGCAAGTGCTTTACAAATGTAAATTATTGTTATTAAATTACTGTTTATGTTTGGTATTGCCTGATCTCAGGGCTGCATTTCCCAGAGTCCTTTGCCAGCAAGTTCTGATAAAGTTTAGGTTCTGCCAGTGAGATGCACTCGGGATTTGAACAGCATAAGGATGGTGCCGTTCTTCCTCCAGGAGTGGCTGACACGAGGGTTTGACAGACATAAATTTTTGCAGTGAAGCCAGGCACCAAAGAGTGTCCTGACAGTCACCAGCTTCTAAGCTGCAGGGCAGCTGTGACATTGGCCATGGTTTCCTGTCATTTGCTGCAAGTTCTGATCTCTGGGTGCAGCAGCTTCCTGACATTGGGTTCACAGCTGATGTAGAATAACCTGAAAGTTAGTGGAGGGTCACTCTCAACCTTCACCCATGCACTCCTTCCAAAGCCTTTGTACACATCTGATTTCATGGGTTAAATATTCAATATCTTTCTGCTGGTAATACCTTGAGTAGTTTCTTTTTCCCTCACTGAATCCTAACTGAGATATTATTTATTTCATTGAATTTATGAAAAGCTTACGTTTAATAATAATACAATAAGAGTGAACATTTTTTGAGTGTTTACTACTAGTCATTGGGCTAAGCATTCTGCATGCATAATCTCACTTAGTCCTCTAAGTCAACCCTATGAGGTAGTTTCTATTGCTGTCCTCATTCTGCAGGGGAGAAAACTGAGGCAGAGGGTTGCACACTAACCCAGGTCTCAGAGGTGGCCAGTGGTGGAGTTGGGGTTTGAAGTCGGGTTGTCTGAATCCAGAGATTCCTCAATGACTCTGCGGTAGACTGCCCTTCCCCCTGCAAAAAAAGTTTACTTTATGTCGTCAATAAAGTGAACTTCAGGTCTGAAACAAGAAGTTTCCATTTCAAGGGTGACACAGCACATATACTGCATGTTACTTGAGGGGGGCAGCATGAGCGGGGTCTGGGACGGGACCTTGTAATCAAACACACTAATTGTTCTGTGATGAAGTGAGTGTTCATATGAAATAAGGTAAAGACCATCATAAATAGCCAAAGGAAAGTTCAGTTGCTACCCAATGAGTTTAGATGGCAAATTATTTAGGAAAAATACTTCTGGTTTTCAGAGCTTTGTGGATTTCAAAATTACAGGTTAGGAATTACGGACCTGAATTTTTTTTTTTTTGGCTGCCCCATGCGGCTTGTGGGATCTCAGTTCCCTGACCAGGGATTGAACCCGGGCCCTCAGCAGGGAAAGCGTGGAATCCTAACCACTGGACTGCTAGAGAATTCCCCTGGACCTGCATTTTTAATAAAGTATTAGCCAATAGAAAAGATAAACTGAGCAGATAAAAAAAATTTTTTTCCATCTATTGTCTTATTTTAAATGAGTCTTTGGTCTGGCTCCTTGTGACCACTCCTTCTTTCCTTTTTAAGCCAAAGCATGTGGACAAAGACTATTGCATATCTATTTAAGTCAAATGTAATTGTGAGTATATTTACTTTGCAGACACCAAAAGGTTAAGGTCACTGTGTTCTTTCACAGCACCCAGCAACATGACCCCACTTCAAAGGAAAGAACCAGACAAAATCAGCAACTTAGTAGCGAAAAGCGTGCTCGGAATACGTTAGGATCTCTTCCAGCTCCCCTCATTCTTCTACAACTGGACCTTCTAATACAGCATTTCTACTAATCTTGATAAAGTTATTTACTTATTAAGGTTTTAGCTAAAGTATATCTAAGTATAGCTTTCACATTTTATTTTTAATCAATTTATTCCAGTTATCTGTAAGTGTGTAAAAAACCACCCTAAACTCAATGGCTTAAAATAATTTATTATTGCTCTCCTGGTTCTATGGGTTCTGTGGGTTGACTGAGATGTCCTCATTTGGGGTTTCTCATGGGGTTGCACAGTTGGGGCTCAAGACATCTTGAAGGCTTGACTGTGCTGGATGTCCAAGATGGGGCACCCACGTGACTAGCAGTCGATGCTGGGGGCTCAGCCAGAGTTGTCATTAAGACCACCTATGTGTGGCCTCTCTGTGTGGCTTGGGCTTCTTTCAGCATGATGGCTGAGCTAGGAGGGAGCCCATCAAAGATAAATATTCCAGACACCCAGGTGGAAGCAGTAAGACTCTTATGATCTAGCCTTAGAAATCACTTAACATCACTTCCACCTGATTATTTTTGTCAACAGTGAGTCACAGGTCCAGCCCAGATTCAAGAGGAGGATAGTATAAAAGGATGTGGATAGCAGAGGCATTTTTCATTGGGGGGTCATCTTTGAAATCCAGCTCTCAGACAGTGTATATAGATTTATGTGTACAGAGTTTAAAAGTAAATTCAAAAATCACAGACACAGAGGCAAAAGTTTTATCGCCCTGCAACGGAGACAAAAATGCCTTGAAATTGTACTTCAATTTTTTTCAATATCTTAGAATACTTTTTAACACAACTCTGCTTGATGAGACAAATAAAAAACAAATAAATGTCATGAATGATATCTAAAAGGTGGTCAAACAGAGAGTTGAAGTATGGAAACTCTAAGTGGAGCAGACAGAAGAAATTCTCTAAAGCTATAAAAACATAAGGAGATGCTTTTCAAATGCTATGACATCATTATCGGTCTCTGGCAAACCATGACAGCCATTCTGGTGTGTAATCAGGAGCAGGTTGGCTTGTGAACCAAAGAGCAGAGGAGATAATGAGAGGCAGCCTTTGTAGTTGAAAACAAATCATTCCTACATTTTTTCCCCTTTGAGTCACAGACCCTTTGGAGCACATGGAAAAGTTAGGAAATATTTTGCCCAGAAAATAAATGTATTTTTTAAAATTGAAGTATAGGTGATGTACAATATTATATAGGAAAAATGTATATTTGTATACCTTTGTTCCTTCCTTCATTCTTTCCTCCCTCTCTCCCTTCCCCCTTTCCTCCTTCCCTTCCTTCATTCCTTCTACAATTATTTAGAGAAAGCTCGTTCTGTATCAGACACTGATTTGGACTAAGGGATAAAGTAGGGAAGAAGATAGATCCATTCCCCTGTCTCACGGCATGTCCATTTTTAAGATAGACAGAAAAAACCCAAGTATACCAGTAAAAAAACAAGACGACCCCAGATAGTTATAAGGAACAAATTGTGTACACAGCATCTTGCATACAATTTTATGGGGTTCACAGTTGTGTCATGGACTCTCCTTCCTTGCTGTGCAATCAATAACTTCTCTTTTAAACCAAAGGATAACTTTTCAGTATGAGCATTGTGGATGTGGTTGTTGATGAGTCGTTGCTTTTTCACTTATACTGGGTACACAGGTGTTGACTGGCCTGAGTTGTTTTCAACAATGAAGCACAATTATACACAGTGTCACTGGAGCTGACTTTCCTAACCAATGGGAGAGCACTGGCTCCTTATGAGATTTCAGAAAGTACTACTGCTGGTGAGCATGACAGTGTGCACTGCACGGCTTTCCACAGGTTTACTAAAAAAAGAAAACTCCCCCCACTAGGGAGCTATCTGCTCTCCCTTATTTTAAAAAAATTAAATGGACCCAATAGTCATGGATTCACATTTCAAATTCTCAATTTACAGGAGACTCTAGGAACGCACCCTTTCATCCATATTCTGATGATAGTGAAGGACGTATGATTTGTTTTGGAGATTTTTTTCCCTCTATGTCCTATATTCTTCTGTTCTCACCACAAATTGTACTTCTGGCCTTAGTTACTACGGCATCCTGAGGATTTAAACATATACTTTTACCTTTGGCAACATTTTAAGTTTTTTTCATTAGCATAATGCATAACTTTTGCAAAGATGAAATGCAAATATCCATCTATCTTATTCCATCATAATGTGTGAGACATAGTTCTAAACCTTTGTTTTTTGTTTTTGCGGTATGCGGGCCTCTCACTGTTGTGGCCTCTCCCGTTGCAGAGCACAGGTTCCGGACGCACAGGCTCAGCGGCCGTGGCTCACGGGTCCAGCCGCTCCACGGCATGTGGGATCTTCCCGGACCGGGGCACGAACCCGTGTCCCCTGTATCGGCAGGCAGACTCTCAACTACTGCGCCACCAGGGAAGCCCCTAAACCTTTGTTATTTTTGAAATATTTTAATTGGTAACATAAACTGTTACTCCATACTTTTTTTTTTAAACTTTTTGGTGCTTTATGGATATCAAGCTTTTACACTTTCTTCAGTTAATATCTGAAATTTTATTGGAATGAATATAAAAGTGGAGTGAGCATAATCTAAATATAATTTTTAGGGGGTTGGTAAAGTATGCCCTGTGGGTCAAAGCCACCTATTTCCATGATAAATTTCTAGTGGAATACAGGCACACTTATTCTTTTACATATTGTCTATGGCTGCTCTCATGTTCATTATCTTTCCCCTTTAAGAAAAAGTTTGCCCATCCCTCATTTAGAGGAAAAATGATTCTATCTTTATTTCCTTGCTAATCATTGACATAAATTCTATATATTTATCATATGCCATAGATAAGTGAATTTGCGTGCCTACCGCGTGTCAAGCACTATGCTGGGGATATAAAGACAAAACTTTGTGTTTACTGTTTAACAATAGCTCCAAGACGGTTAATAAAAAAAAATTCTGGGAAGCCCCTAAAGGTATACCTAAGAACAAATACAGGTTTTATACTGAGGTGACACAATTCATTGGTGACACTTTGACTTGGGGAAAATGTGGGTTTTTCTTAACCTTAATCATGCTATTATTGTAGTATAAAATTGAGTCAGTGGTGCTCATAATTAGGTCCAAAGTAAAGTTTTCAAAAAATTACCCATAAAATTTATGGAAAAACATATCTGAAATTTCCACTTCGTTTTGCCAAATAAGCCTGGGGCTGAGGTTGTTCATCCAAAATCCCATTAACTCATTAACTAGTAACTCCGGGTTCTTGTTTATGATGTTTGCGAGGATGTCCCTTGAAGAACATCTCTTGCGTGTCTCTGTGGTCCCCAAGGCCTCCTGAAATGATGAGAGCACAGCCACAAATATGGTGATTTAATTCAATAAATGTTTATTGAGGGCCTACCATATGCAAAGCAATCTGCTGGTCCAGTGGGGGCTAAAAGGCTGTATGAGAGGGGGCTCCTGCCTTTCAGAAATTCAAAATTTCCCAAGCTGGGGGATGGCTAATCAGAGCATTCCATAACCTTTGGAGAAGTGTCTTGAGTGTTGAAAAAGTTACCAATGTCCTGCTGTCCCGCCAGCTCCTGATCTGTTTTTACCCCAGTTCATTTCATATATCAAGCTATTTATGGCTTTGTTTTGTTTGCTTTTTGTTTTTGCCTGCACCGTGCGGGATGCGGGATCTTATCAATAGTTTCCTGACCAGGGATCGAACTCGTGCTCCCTGCAGTGGAAGCGTGGAGTCTTAACCACTGGACCGCCATGGGAGTCCCACTATTTTTGGATCAGGATCATTAAACACTGGTCTTCACAAATCTGGCTTAAATGTATGTAGGAAGACCCAAAGGGAAGTATATAAATTGTATTTTCTTAAAGAGTGTACAAAGATCACAACATTTGTGAGCTAGAAGGAGAAGCCTTAGAGACCATTTGAGACCTAAACTTATGCAAGGTTCTCAAGGTTGCATCCTTTGGAAGAGGCCGTGACCCCGCCTCCTTCCTCCCCTCCTCTCCCATAGTGCACACAGCTCCCAGTTTCTTGGTGTCAGTTTTCAGCAGCTGGAAAAGAGAGATAATAGCCACCATGCAGAGTTGCCAGCTTTAGTAATTCTAGTTCCTGGAATCAAGGACAGGAAGCCTTTTAGTTATTTGCACACCCTAACTTTGCTAGCTTCTAGTGAATAAATCATTTAACTGCCAGCTAATTACAGTATTGGAAAGTTTACATCATTCATCTTTTTATGGAACCTCTTGATGGACGATTCTGGAGATTAAAACTCTTGACAATTTCCATGATCTAAAAAAGGAAAGCTGACCTAGAGAAATATGGGACAAAAGATCAGCATTTCAGAAGTCTCAAGCAGCAATGGGATCTTACACAGTAGCCTATTTAAAGTGGTGCTGATTTGAACACTTAGATTAAGTTCCTGGAAAAAGACAGAAATGTGACTTTTGTCAGAAGCAGTGCCATTTTATTGAATGAATGATAATTTTGCACTTTCTAAGTACCATGCACTTGCTTCCAGGTAACAACCCTATGAGGCAGGTACTATTGTTATGCCGCTTTACAGATGAAGAAACTGAAGAAAGTGAGGCATAGGGAAAAAGTGTCCAAGGTCCTGACAGCTGGTCAGTAGTTGAGCCAGGAACGAAACACGTCCATCCCTCGACCTGCCAGTTGACACCAGCTGAAGCCGGTCGTTTTCGTGCAATGCCTCGAAGCCCCGTTCCAGGTCCTGGCTCTCCAGTGCCGCCCGGGCCGGCCCTCCCTCCCTCTGGGTTCCAGGCGACGCTTCTGGCCGCGCATCCGGGGGAACGGCGCCCGCACCCGGCAGCCCTGGCAGCGCGCCCCCGCGGCCGGCGGGAACGCGGGAGCTGCGCGCACGTGCCGCCGGGAAGAGGCCGACCGGGCCGCCCCAAGATGGCGGCGGCCGCGGCCGCAGCGGCGTCGGTTGGCAGCGGCCCGTGAGGCGGGCGGGGCCGGTGGCGCGGAGGCGGGGTCCCGGGCGAGCCGCCCTGGGAGGCGGGGGCCGTTTCCATAGCGGCGGCAGGAGGTGTCGCGCCGGGCAACTTCCTGGTTCCAGGGCTCGGCTTCGCCGGGATCCTCTTGGAAGGGAAACAATGGGGCGGAGGGCACTGCGGTAGCCGCCGCCGCGCCGGGACCTCCTGGGCCCCCGGGACTCCCCCCGCTGCCTCCGCCGACGGGACCGTCCGGAGGTAAGTTCATTTTCTCCTCTCCCCCCGCCAGAGGCCGGCGGCGGTGGGGCTCGGCGCGTTTCCTCCAGGCAGGGACTCGGAGTTGGCCCCGGGGAGCCGGACGCCGCCATTCCCGGCCCCGGGGGAGGTGGACGGAGCAGCGCTCCCCGTCCCCGCCCTCCAGGGGGACTGGCTCCGGAAACGAGCGCGGCCTGGAACCCCCTGGAACCTGGACGGCAGGGTGCTGCGGGTGTGATTGGCAGGTTGGCGGGCGCGATTGGCAGGTTGGCGGGCGCGGGGTAGGGGCGCAGCGGGGCGTGCGGGGAGGGTTTGGCGGGGCCGGCGCGGGAGGGGACCTGCCGACCGGTGAAGGGGGTCTCTGGAAGGGTCGGAGGTCGGCCAGGTCCGCGGGGAGGGGAGACCCACAGCCTCTCCCTCCCCGCGAGCAAGTTTCGGTCCCCGGGAGACGTGTCTCCCTTGCAAGTTTCAGTTGCGTCCTCCAGAGTCCAAGTGGGCAGGACTGAGGCAAACTTCGTTCTTTTAAATTATTGCCTTCCTGCCGCGGGACTTCGTTTCGACTAGGCAAGGGGAGGATGGGGTGAATGAGGGCATTGGAGAAGCTGGAAATCTCTGCGCCTTTGCAGAGTTTGCAAAATAGTTTGGAGCTCACAGCCGGGTGTTGGTGCGGCAGTTGTGATGCGGCAGAATGGTTACTCGCAGGTATTTTAATGCCAAGAAATGTGAAGAGTCTATGAATCCACGGGTGGACATTTCTAGAAATTGAAGATTAAAGTCTGCCCGCGCCCCCCTTCATTTTAATCCACGGATGCTTTTTAGTCAGTAGATTTCAACCTGAGTTAAATGAGTCCCTTACGGGACTGGGAAGGAGTTTTGAATTGGGGCAATACCCAGTCATTGGAAATAAGGTGACACATAGAAAAAAAGTGGGGACATGGTCTTAAATATTTTGTTTGTTGGAAGAAAGTGATTTCAAGCCTGTATTAATTCATTTATAAATAGAAGTAAGTCTTTGGGATAGATATTTAATGTTTCGTAGCACAGAGAAGTTGGACAAAACTTTAGCTATCACCCTGGCCAACTCCCTCACATGTTGAATCTGTGAGAAGTTCTGTTACAGGGAAGTCAGGGTACTTTTTTCTTTTGTGCAGTCATCTTAACAAGAATCAAATTAGCCAGCATCAAATGGACAGTGGTTTATTTGCTTTTATTTCTCACTCTGTCAGACCCGAAAATTAAGAAAAACGTTTCTGAGCTTGCTGTTTTTTTTATAGTAAAGTCTGTAAACATAGTCTAGTTTATTACTTAAAGTGGATGTTGTTGACCTATGTTATATTCCACATAGGTAACTGAAATATGTCAAAATATGAGAAAAAAGCTACACTAATAAAGGTATAAATTAATTTAAAAAGGAAAACCAGAGCCTTAATTCCAAGTACAGGTATTCTGAGTTAAGAGAAATTCCTTTGCTGATTACCTATTTAAAGAATCACTGAGGTGTCACAAGGGCATTCAAAGAAGCATCATTTCCCAAACATTAAGAACTTGGGCCCTGAGCCTTGCTGTTGCTGCCTACTTACTGTTTTTAGCTAGTCTGTCTGACTCTCTGGCATCCTTGTTTCTGGTGAGAATAGCTCATTACCAGTTGTAACATTGTTTTGACATGAAATAGCTCCTCTGGAGGACAGCTGCCATTGGTTAAACAAGCCAGTAAGTAGAAGTGTCGGCTTTGGCACCATCTGTTTTTTTTAAACATCTTTATTGGAGTATAATTGCTTTACAGTGGTGTGTTAGTTTCTACTGTATAAAAAAGTGAATCAACTATACATATATCCCCATATCTTGGCACCATCTGTTAATTGGCTGGTCATCCTTGGGAACCAAGACAACTTCCTGGCATGGCAGATCCAAGTTGGACTTCCAGTGCCAGGCAGAGGTTGTGTGTCAGGCTTTGCCTTCATGTTGCATCTCTCTCAGGTTACTGTTACCTTTTGTAGCTAGTGAAGATGGGTGAAAAAGAGGCCAGTAAATTTAAGCTAGTGGCAAGTTGTAATGAAACAAAATTACTTTGATTTGTAAATGCTAGGAATGTTAAGGCAGTTTGAAGCTGGCAAAAAAACTTAGCCAAAATACCAAAACTTTAGGAATTGCTGCTTCAGTTAGAAAGTGGCAAGTGATTACATTTTCTGGTTTATGTTTGCAATTTCACTTCAACCATCCTTGTTTCGCTTTAGCACAATGGTATTGTTACACCAACAATACTCAGACCATTTATTCCCAGAAAGGTATAGTTTGTCCCTTCAGTGTGATTTTTGAAAGGCATATTGCATTGTTAGATATGATTTCCTTATATTTAGTGTCTCATTTTTTTTCCTTTAGAAAGTGTCTCAATTTTTACAGTGGAAGTCAATACAAAAATAATATACATTTGAAAGAAATCTGACTTCTAGCACACTTCCTTATAGTACATGGGCATTAGAGCACGGGAATTAGAGTCATAAACTTGGAGTCTCAGCTGGTCTGGTCTCTGCCATTTCCAGGTTATGGTATTTCATGCAGATAACTTAATTTTTTAAAGCTTGTTTCTTTGTAAAATCGGGGGGGGGATCATAAATTCACACTTGTTTGTTTATTCAACAAATATTTCTTGAGTGCCTTATTGTACCCATGACCTTGTGTTAGGTACCTTGTTTTCAACAACAGGAGGGATCAGTCCTTTGAAGTAAAGTACAGGGAGCTATAAAACCTGTCACCAGGGAACCTAACTTGATTGGGAGTGGCAGGGCAAGCTGTCCTGAGGAAGTGGCTGGTAAGACCTGAAGGATGAGGAGAAGATGGCAGGTGGAAAGGGCAAGTGGGAGGGTGGGACACTTTGAGTATGAGAGAGAGCGCGTACACGGTCCCTGAAGAGAATGCTTGTGTGTTAGTTCCCTCTGTGGCACATACGCCACCACTGTTAGTTGTGGAGGGAAGGTAGGCTCTTGGCCCCGTGCTCGCATCATCTAAACCAGGTGAGAACAGAGGTGGCTCAGCCTTTGTAGAAAGGGAGTTAGTCTAGATGACTCTCACCTCGCTAGACTGGAGATGAGTCTGCACACTTTGTGTCTACTTTTATAACTCTGGCACCGGTTACTTGATAGTTCTTATATCTGTTAAGTGGTAAATAAAAGGTTCTTTGATTTCTTTAGCGAGATGCTGTATAATATGAGTGTAGTGTTTTGATTTAATTTTGATAGTATTTTCCCTTGGAAGAGCTTAGACCCCCCTTATTTAAAATATCTCCTCCTCACAAAATGCAAGTAGCAATCCACTGTAAAATTAAAAAAAAAATTAGTAAGTGGCAGGTAATTTCATTTGCTTATAGGACGCTCAAGAGTGACTCTGGAGTTTTATAGCTTGTTTGGTTAAGTATCTTTGGCTCTAAAGAGATTATTTAGTTATTCTCTGATAGAGGTATATGTTGCACCTGTGTCTTGCTGACATTGATACTAGTGTAGAAAAAATTTTAATTTTATCCTGGGATTTCCCTTCACTGAATTAACAAGTGAATTAAAAAATATTAGAGCAATGTTTTTCATGAAATAAGTGAAAGAATATCATTTTAAGCTTCTTAATACATTAATTTTGGTTAGTACTATTATATAGATCAGTAATGGCAAATTAGTATTTTACTGCGGAATTAATGCAGCATTTATAAGCCAGTTGGTTCTCTGGATTTTTTGTTCCTGTTTCTTTTTGTTTGGCTTTTGGATGTTTTAATGCTTGTTAGCATATCTGCAGTTACATAAGAAAAGATAAGGTGAAATAAGACTTTGAAAAGTCAGTGACAATGGAAAAAAATGGAATAGATGTGGAGGTTAAAATTTACAAAGTTTAGGTATGTGAGTGGGGGCTAGATATTTCTGTGTATTTTGCTGATGGCTCATAAAAATGAATTGGCAGATAACTTGATATTAATGGTTAAAAATTAAGCATCTCACCTGTTCCATGTTCCTTTTCTCTTTCTAGATTTGTTTTGGATTGATTTTAAAAAATAATTATTCCATTTCCTCCTTTTTTATTAGCTTGGGATTATATATTCTTTTACTCTTTAGTATTTGCCTAAGAAACTCTAATCTTTTCTCTACTTATCAAAGTGTAGCATTAATTGAGACTTTCACCCTTTTTCCAGATAATGTTAAGGCCTTTAAAAACATGTAAGTCAATTTCTTTCCTATTTTTTAAACCTATTTCATTGTTATCATGTTTTTAAATGCATATATGTATTATACCCCAAAGACCTATTTCTGTTGTTTTGTACCATTATTATTCAGTTAGACTTAACTGTCTTTCTTTTCCTTTATTCCTTCTTGTGATACTGACCTTCCTTCTGAAACAATTTTCCATCTGCCTACAGAATACCCTTTAGTATTTTCTTTAGAGTGGATTTAGTGTTGAAAAATTTTCAGTCTCTTAGTTTGTCTAAGAATGTTTTTATTTCACCTACATTCTTGAAAGATACATTTTGCTAGGTATAGAATTATAGATTGGAGGTACATACATACATATATTTGTATATTAGTTCTTTGAAGAAGAGATTATTCTATAATCCTTATTTCTATTGAGAAGCAGCTGCAGTTTATCACTTTGTTGGTAATTTGTTTCTTTCTCAGGCTATTTTTAAGATTTTCTTTTTGTCTTTCAGATTTTATTTAAGATGATGTCCTTTCCCTCCCCCGCCCCTCACCCCCCCCCCTTCCTTTTCTTGCTTGGGCGTATACGTGTTAATGCTGTTACCTGATGTTTTTCATCAGTCTTGGGTAGTTTTCAGCTGTCATCTCTTAAAATATTGCTTCTCCCCATTTCTCATGCTTAATCTTTCTGGTACTTCGGTTCCAGTGTTAGGTCTCACTGACTCCACTGTGTATTTCACCTGTCTTCTAGGTTTTCTATTTTTTTCTTTTTTTCTGGACATTTTCTTCTGGCCTATCTTCCGGTTTACTAAGTTAGTCTTCATCTCTGTCTAATTTGGTCTTAAATGTGTTCATTCTCTGGGTTCTTAATTTTGGTTATTGTGTTTTTCATTCTAGAATATCAGTTTGGTTCTTTTTAAAATCTGCTATGCCGCTTTTATAGTTACTAATTCCCTATCAAAATGTTCAAGCTTTGCATATATCTCTGTGGAGTACTTACTCTTTGCATATATCTCTGTGGAGTACTTACTCTGGAGAGTAAGCATGTAACTCTGTCCCAGAGTCCTGCTGGT